GGTCAAAATGACACTAAATGGGTCATAGTTGGTGTAACTACATGTTAATATGACTATTTGAGGTAGAATGAGTCTTCAGTGTCCTTAATGGGTCCATCTACACTTATTGGGATATTGGTTCGTATTTGGTATAATCGAGTCATTTGGCTCAAATTAACAATAAATGTATCATAATTAGTCTGATTACACCCTATTAGGTTAATAGGGCTCTTTTATCCATAAGGATTCTAATTGGCTCAAAATGACACTAATCGGGTCATATTTTGTTTGATCAGATATAATGGGTATGATGTGCTTAGTTGGTCATAATTAGTCTAATCAGAATTTAAATGGAGTGATTAAGGGTCCATTTGGTGTTAGTGGATATAATTGGCATGTTTCTCCTTAAGAAGTCCAATTGGGTCAGCACGACTCAAACTAGGTAATAATCAGTCTTTTTAGACCCAAATGTGTTTAATGGGGCCAGTTATCCATAACTAGTGTAATTGCGTCACATTGACACTAAATGGGCCATATTTGGTTTGTTCAGACCTTAATGGTTATCAGGGCTTATTTCTCCTATCCAGTCTGATTGAGCCATGATGGTACTAAATGGTTCAAAATTAGTATAATCTGACATTAATGTGAGTAATTGAGGAAGAATAGGTATTAGCGGTCCTTAATGGGTCCAAATGGTGGCAGTGGATRTAATGGGCATAATTCTCGTTAAAAAATCCAATTGAGTCAAAATGACACCAAATAGGTCAAAATCAGTCCCATTAGACCCTGATGGTTTTAATGGGCCCATTACTTCGTAACGAGTTTAATTTGGTCAAAATGACACTAAATGGGTCATAGTTGGTGTAACTACATGTTAATATGACAGATTGAGGTAGAATGAGTCTTTAGTGTCCTTAATGGGTCCATCTACACTTATTGGGATATTGGTTCCTATTTGGTATAATCGAGTCATTTGGCTCAAAATGATAATAAATGTATCATAATTAGTCTGATTACACCCTATTAGGTTAATAGGGCT